CGATGGGTAGCTCCACAAACACGGGGCCGGGAGTTCCGCTTTGGGCCACTTTGAAGGCTTCGCGCAGTTTCGGCACAATATCTCTGACTTTGGTGACAGTCGTCGCCATCTTTGTGATCGGTTTGAAGAGCGAACTAATAGTTTGATTAGAAAATAAATTATCATTCAATTGATGCAAACAATTGGCGCCACAATAGAGACTCACATCTGATCGATGTCTTGAAGAGCGCCTTTGCCTTTGAGAAGAGAGGCCGCGGCGCCGCCTAACACCACGATTGGCGACTCAGCCATCTGTGCGTTCTTGACGGCCGTCACAGTGTTGGTCACTCCGGGACCCGCCGTCACGACAGCCACGCCAGGGATGCCCGACAGTCGGGCGGTGGCGTCGGCCGCAAACACAGCTGTCACCTCATGCCTGGTGTCCACCACTCGGATCCCGAGCTTCTCGGATGCGGTGAGAATGGGAGCGATGTGTCCGCCCGACAGAGTGAAGATATTCTCGACGCCATGCGATCGCAACACAGCCGCCACCAGCTCTCCTCCGTGTCGGACACTCTTCTCGTCCACCTTTGATGAAGACATCAATTCGTCAGACATTTGGTCACAAGTATTGATAACTTTTTTATTAGTATTTAGTGATAAACGCAAACATTTTTTCCTACAAACTTATGGACACGTTATGTGATCTGAAGTTCAGATTGAGAACTGATCTGAAGAAATATAAGGCTATCTGACAGTAGATATGAAAGTGGAAAGGGATCTAATGGTAGGGAAGGAGTGACAGGCATCTCAAGCAATATGTAATTTGCAATTAAGTTAACAAAAAAAAGTTAATATTTTATGGATTTTAGCAATCATTTAAAGTTTAGCCTATTTTCTGTGAATATATTTCCCAAATAATGTGATTATAATTGACTTGAAACTGTAAACGAAACAAAAAGTCAATGGGAAAGACATGCGGAGGAAAGGCATGTCTGAAAAAAGGGGTCAATAATGAAGTAATCACTAATTGTATGGTAAGTGAGGGCTCTTAGGAAACACAGGTTTTGATTGATTTGTTGTGTAACTCAATGCGAAACACGAGTCAAAAGACACAAACAAACTGTGAAAGAGACACAAAAACAAGAGATCATTGAATGAGACAATGGTTTGCATTACTTTGTGGAAGTAGTGATAGAAGATGTTAGCCCTCCGGAGCCACATATTGACGATCATCAACAGTGGGTATAGTGTCTGAGCCACACAGACACTGATCATGAGATAAAAGGCCACAGTTTTGAGCGCTGATGTCAACGACAAGCCATCGCTAGTGCCTCCAAACACATCCATTGCCGTCAATACCACTACTTATACCTCCCTTTCCTTATAATGTACTCAACTCTCTGTACTTTGAGGACAACCTCTCACTGTAAACACCGGCGTGTAATCAATGGGACGTCTGTTTTCACTGAATGTCTACTTTTCTGATGACAAACTTTTTTTTATATACTATTCAGACATCAGTAATCGGTTGTGAGTTTTGATTCAATGTTTTGTCTGATTATCACAAATGCGAGACTTTTTTGAGTGAAAAGTTCAACAAGTCTTCAATGCATAGGCGTCGCGTTCCCATAGAGACACTCATAGACCGTATGCTTTGCGTGTGTTTTACTCGTAGACTCACACATAGTGTACGGCTGATACACATATATGCTTAACTTATAATTACTTAACTTATATACTAATCCCGGCCCCCTTTCACCATACAGTGCATTATGCACTGAACATTTTATAGATAGTGGAAAACATTTTTGGTACTTTAATATAGCTGGTTAATAGGATAATTTCCAGTATATTATAGAGTATTGTCATTTAGTATTGATACAGCATAATTTTATTTATACAATTTTAGCATTATAATTATTATTGTTAATAGACAGGTTTAATTAAACAAATATACAATTACTGTAGTCTATGATTGGGTGCAATATTAGTGTTTAAAATCTAATTGATATCCTATTTCCTGATTAAGACTGATTGAACGTACTCTTAAGCCCTGGGAAATAACTTTATAAGATTTAAAATTTTATCAGGTTCACAAACAAGTTTTTATCAAAATGTTAAAGTTTGCCAACTTTCAGACTGAAGTTTGTGTGACTGTGGGTGACATCCATTGACAACACAACTCATTATTCAATTCTATACACAATTTGCAATTCTTTCTAACGTTAGTTAAAAGTAAATGACAACCAATTGTGTCCATTGTATTAAAATTAACTCGAGTTAAGTATTAAAAACTAGAGATTTATTAAAGAAATGAATGTATGATTTGAGAAAGTAAAATAGTTTTTTAATACAAATTAAATTATGATATTTTCATATACAGTAAAGTTTTGGACCATAGTTAAGAAATCATTTGTCGAAGTTCGTGGACCAATTATGGTGACATTTATATTATCAAGGTATGGATTTGATTTAGTAGTGTGATTCTGGTTAGTTTTATGATTTGTTAG